TAATTTCTTGCTTTTAATTACTGTGGTTGTGAATGAGGATATTTTAGGAGAACGTACATGCCGGAATATTTAGGGGTAAAGAGCTATCATGTAAGCAGCTTATTCTCACATAGTTGAAAAATGGGACATATAAAAATGTACTTACAGGAACAATGATCGAGCAAATGGATAAAATGTTAAATTGGGAGTGTCTGGATGAAGGGTGTATGGGAAGTTTTTGTATTATTTTTGCAATTATTCTGAGTCCATTTCAAAGTAAAGAACTTGAAGAAAACTAAAACAAGAATTTGCGGATTCAACATGCTGCTTAAGGATCGGACTGTTGTTACCTTAAATCCTTCTGTGTTCCTCCCAGATGAAAATCCCCCTCCCTGCTCTATGGGAAACTGTTATCCTGAATTTTTAATTCAGTTAATGTTTTTCCACCACTGTGTGCATTCATAAATAGTATTTGTGGTCTAAGCTTTTATTTTATGGAGGGTATATATGAAATATTGGATGTCTAACGAATCAAGTGGTACATGGTATCCACATGATGTCATTGGTGACGTTGGCCTTGATCACTTGGAGAAGGCGGCATCTGCCTGGTTTCTCCACCGTGCAGGTACTATTTTCCTCTTTCCATAATTTATGTCCATCCATTTCTCAAAACGTTTTAACAGCTTTCCATCTCATGCAGTGTAAATGCTAAAATTCTTACAATGATTTGCAAGGTTTTATGGTTAGAGAGTGGTCCCAGGCTCTGATTTCTTCTTAGCTCTCTCCTCTTGATTACCCTCCCTCCCGCTCACTTTCTCCATCCGGCCATATTGGACTCTTGCTGCTCCTCTAACGCCTCGAGCGGGCTCTCACCTAACGGCATTTACAGGGAGGTGTGTAGGTCTTAAAGAGTGCTTTAATCATGGTATTGGTGAATATATATTTCTGTTACTGGGTAGACAAAGTCGAGATTCCCTAAATCGGGAATAGAAACGGAGCATTTTTTAAAACCATTACCCTATAGCTTTCCAGCAAGGAAAAGCCTCAATCCATCCTGAGAAAAAAAACAATTATAACTGGATCGTTTCTTACAGCCCTTTGGAGGTGTTCAGGGTTCCTTTTTGGGAGTGTTGCAGATGTTTGGGAACTAGACAGAGGTTGTGGTTGCACAACATTGAGAATGTATGGAATGCCACTGTATTTGCTTTTTAAATGGTTAATTATGGGAATTTTTAAAATTTGTTATGTCAATAAAAAACATTCCCCACCAATGCTGGTTCAGTATTGAAGCCAGTTTATCTCTGTTACTGTGGATAATACCTTGAGGTGTTTTTCCTTAACTTTATTTTTTAAATGCTTACCTCTTTAGGTAATAGCAAAGCATCTCAAGGTTCTTTAGTTTGCCGTCCATTTTCTAGGGGTTTGCTGCAGTGGTCAGGGAATTTGTGTTTATAAAGCATTTTGAAGTGATGGGCTAACCCCTAAATCATAAGCCTCGTATTACTATTAATATTTGCACCTTCTATCTTTTGTCAGTTGCCAGATCTGGGCAAGGGCAATTAATTAATTAATTTGGCCATCTAAACTGATTTAATTTTAAGAGAAGTTTATATATTAAGAGTAAATTTAAGTCTATGATAGCATAGCTTCCTTGGCAAATTTTAGTTTTTCTTTTTGAGGATGGTGAACCATCTACAAACATAATCAAATCAGGATAATCAGAGGGAGTCTCTAGAAGGTCTTCAGGGTGTGGGTAGTTTCCTTACAGGTAAGCAAGCTTGGGGTTCTTTGTTCAGGTAAAGGAAGGAAGGTGGTTGGATTCAGTATTGCGGAATGGATAGTAATGTGTGAAGGGAAAGCAACAACGTAGTATTCATTGATGATTAAGGACTAGAATAGAAAAGTTGCTATTCTGTCAATGGAGAACGCTGCACAGCATAGGGGGACCATTAATTTAATGAAGATCCTAAACTAAATCAACTGAAATGTTCACATTTGTTTGGTGATTGCTGCTACAGCTCTTACACAAGGTAGGATATGCCTTGGCTACTGGATCTAATTCTTTTGTAATTAAATTGGTACCCCCTTGTGCTTGTTCAGAATTTTCATGAACCAAAAGGGAAAAAGGGGTTTGTGAATCTAAAACCCTGAAGGGAGAAATCTTTTGCTAGACAGTCGACTGTATGTATCAGTCTTTGATGAAATTGAGCATGAGTATGCTTTTTAGCTTGAAAAGTATGCAGTTACTGAAAGATATTTATATTAGCATATTTAATTGTTGTGTAAGTATAATTAACTTAGGAAGATAAACTTCATTTTGTCATTTTTTAAAATATTAAGTTTGAAAAACAAGAGCTTTTATAAAATTTAAATTAATTAAAATATGGAGAATTTTAGATAAACCTAGTTATGCTTATTGGCATTTTTTTTATGTAGTGAAGGAGCAAATCTTTGTTGTCTCCCAGAGATAGTTCGGCATAAAAGACCATTTTAAAAGTGTTAGTATTCTGAATTTGGAGCCTGAATTTGGAAAGGACAAATCAAGAATAGTTAGAAAAGATAAGATATAAGTTGAAGTAAAGACAAAAAATATTATAGTCAAATTCTTAAAAACAGTGATAAACAGCAAAGATTATTAGGAGCTTAACTTTTATTTTTAAAGCAAGGAATCTCTTTAAAAATGAGTTGAGAGGATGTCAGAAAGCCTCAAGAGTTAACAATTTGGTAAAAAAGGAACTTCTAATCTGGGCATAAATTAATGTGGTCATCTAATAGACAAAGGCCTAAATTCTAATATTCTTCTTTTGGTGCACTGATGTAGCAGTTTACAGAAAAGGATGTATTTATATGCCTTTATACATGTATTTAGGCTTATGCACATATATAAATAATAAATTCAGAACTATGTAATATTACATTTGCCATCTGAACAAGTTAATCATAGCTCTTAATTTATATCCATATTTCTACTTATCTGTAATTGTATCTAGTAGTTAATCAATTATGTAAATTATCTTAACCAAAATAACCAATTTTCTTTTCTCCAGACACAAAAGAAAACTGGAGGACAGATAATATCATTTAGTAACTTATTTCCATAAGCATATATTTCATAGCCTTTAACATATTTGAGGAAGCACAAGCAAACATTGGTGATTTCAACAAGATCAGTTGTATTTCTATATACTAACAATAACAAATTAGAAAATTTGAAATTAAAAGATACCATTTACAATAGCATCTAAAAAAATCTAATACTTAGAAGTAAATAAAATAATGCGGGTGCTTTTCAGCCAAACAGTGACAACTCTGTATGACTACCACCTGGGCTGACAGATTATAAGACATCCCAATTTCAGAGATGTTAAAAAAATTTTAAGTGTCTTTGAATTAAAGAAACATGGTACTAAGTTTTGTAAAACTTCAGTCTTCAATGAAGCCTTTAGAAATTCAGGTTGTAGCCAAGTCTAGTGGTTTTGCTTACCCCTATAAAGTGTATTTAATGTTAACTTTCCTTAAAAATCTGCTTTTTAAAAGTTGAGCAGTGTCTTCTTTTGCATTGAAAGTCCCATTAATAATAAAGTCGCTTAACTGAATAAATTAACCTCACTGTCAGTGGAGGCAATGAAAAGCATGAAGGGGGGGGATGATGGTTCAGTGATGGGACCTTTTAGATGAGTGATGGGAGCTTTGTGGCAGGAGCCACTTGGGTGGGGAGGGCGTGTGTCTTTGGCACCAGTAAAGTGCAGGTCTGTAGGGATCCACGGGGCGGGGCAGGGGGGGGGGACAGAAATGTTTGCCAGTTCAGGCAAGGCTCCTTGACTATACCAAAGTTTTTCTGTTCCTCCATCCCCTACCTCTCTAATCCTTTTATAAACAAAGGAAAGTGGCCATTTTAAAGAATCCCTTTTATAGGGTTAAAGTGCTGGAAAACTAATCAATACAATATTACGTATTTTTCATCGGTTTTATAATTTTGTAAAGAACTTGTTTGAGGTTGTTAAATATTTGGTATAGCTTTTTATTGTCAGATTAGCTGAGCAGGTTTGGGGAGACAGGGATTGTATGTCTGTGCATACATGAGCTTTTAGGCTGAAGCCCTGGGATTGAACAGTAACAGTTAACATTTGTTTCACACTAAATACATGTCAGGTGTTTTCCAGATGTGAGAATTTCTCAGGACATTTTACAAAGGCAAGTTGCACCAGTTTTAACTGTTTACCCTTGTAGTGCGTATAAACATTTCTCCTTTAAAAGAGAGCTGGTGGAGCTATATATACTTAAAAATGGGTCACATGGTAAATTTTATGTTGTATGTTTTTTGCCACATTTTTTTAAAAAGTGAGCTAGTCATCATAAGCTCAGAAATTTATTATAAGGCCAAAATAAACCCTGAATACAAAAGTGATGAAAAATGGTGATATGCAGTCTTTGAAGGAAAACCTTATGATTCTTTTAGCATTTAAAGTTTTTTTTAGTTTCTGATTTTCAGAATTTACTAATCCATTTTTTAGCTGAAGATTTTTGCTTCCATTTATGTCTTGTTACAGACACTGCACACTTAATGGCTAAAACCTAATTACAGATTTTGAGCTTAATTTAACTGTGTTACGCTATAGAAGAATACAAGTGAATTACTGGTTAGTCTATAATAAAACCTCATGTTCCCCAGCACTGTAGGTATGGGTTTTTCCCCTTTCTGAGCACATTTTCTGCTCTTAATGAAATCTCTTCTAGTATTCTAAGAAGTTAGGTAATCTGTGCAAATCTGAGTTTCGCTGAATAAGTTTTTCTTCTAACTTATTTATATGATGCTGAAACTTTTGTTTGGAATTCTGGGAGGAATTTTTAAAAATTGAGATGTAATTGACATACAGCATTATCAGTTTTAGGGATGCCTGAAACTTGTCATCTTGACTTATAATATGTTGATAGTTTCAGTGTAACAACCTTGGGAAGTGGCAAAACTAACCTCTGGATAACCATGTGACAACCCTGTTACCTCTCTGGTCCAGGTTCCTTGTGGAGCGGCACTGGTACAAACTGTGGGAAGTGCACGCACAGGAAGGAGACCAGGACTCCAGCACCTTCCCTGGCTATATCAGTAATGCTAGCTCTTTGAAGGTACAGACCTTTGCCTGCCCACATCAGCCTAGCCCTGGAGTTCTTTTCTCTTCTGTCCCCACAAATGACCATAGCCCCTTCTCTGTGTTAGGTCATTGATAAAATGTCCAGATGACTCACCACCTTATTTCCCTGATTCTTCCTCTTCTCCTCCCCCTGATCCTCACAGATGAGGTAAACGGGCACCTGAAAGAGGGACTGGTGGAAGGTGAGGACTATGTGCTGCTCCCAGAGGCTGCTTGGCATTACCTGGTCAGCTGGTATGGCCTAGAGCATGGCCAAACTCCCATTGAACGCAAGGTACGGTGGGTGGAGAGGGTGCTAGGAGGTAGATTCTGTGGGGGATGTGGTAGGAGGAAGGCCTTATAGGCCCGGCATGGGTCCAGACCCATGTGTGTACATGTGTCTCCACATGCGCTGTGTAGCTATGTCTGTGCCTGCACTCCTCTCCCCTCATAGGTCATTATTATACAGGTATCTTGGTGTATCACCTATATGTGTTTGCTTGTGCCTATACTTTTCATATCTCAGAGGTGGTCGTGCTATGTGTGTGTGTGCGTGTGTGTATGCTGTGGGTATACTTGTGTGTGTGCTCTTCCACCCTGCCAGGTCGTGGAACTGCGTGGCATTTATAAGGTCGAGGTGTACCCAATAGAACTGCTGCTTGTCCAGCACAGTGATATGGACACACCTCACACTGCTCAGTTCAGCCGCACAGATTCTATTGGTGAGTCTAAGGATCATGTATGAGTTGGCGTTCCCAGCCACGTGTCATAGCTCAATAGCTTAATGCACGGGGTTCGGCTGTGGCAGACTGAGAAGGCCCTGGACAGACTGTAAAGGACTGAGAAGGCCTTGGTCAAGTTGGACAGAGGTCCTGAGGGGCTAGCAGCTTAGCTGGTGTGGCAGAGGATATTTGCTGGGGGTCTCAAGTCCTGAATGTGGTTCAACCATTGAGGACACAACGTACTGAACAGGTGTGCAAGGTCTGTGGAGATGAGGTGGGGTCTGGTGCCAAGATGGGTCTATTATTCAGTGTCCCAGGATGACCTCGAATGTGTTCCTTTACTGTCCACAGACCTAGTTTCACACACAGACCGAGAGCAGTTTCTAGTGAGCCCTCAGGAAGAGACACGGCTTTGGGTCAAGAACGCGGAGGGTTCTTTTGAGAGATTGTGCAACACACGAGTCACAGTGCTTGACGCTGTTCTCAATTCTGGGCAGGTAAGGGTGGGGAGTGCTTTTCTGTTCCCCAGCAGTGCTCAGACTGGGGGAGGTGAGAGCTAGGTGCCCACTGACTCTCCACAAATGCCTTTTCCCATTTTTTCTTTCTCTTCCTCCTACCAGTTGGTCGTCATGGAGACCCGAAGCAAGGATGGCACTTGGCCCAGCAAACAGCCACGTGCTGTGTAAGCCCTTGGGGTGTCTGGTCCAGAGTGGGGTCCCATAGTAGGCAGAAGACGGAGCTCATGAGCACAGTTCACCCGCATGTAGTAGGCCCTCAGCTGATAGTTTCTCATCCACCCCAGGAGCAGCACATCGAAGGAGGATGAGAACTTCCAGGGCCAGCCAGGCATCTGTGGTCTCACCAACCTGGGCAACACGTGCTTCATGAACTCGGCCCTGCAGGTGGGGCCATTAGGGCTATGTCTGGCATAGCCACGGGGTGGGCTCCAATCAGCGTGGATCAAGGATGGAGATAGAGGGTCTTCAGGGCAAGGAGTTGCAAGCCTGACTTCGCGTTCACGTTCCTTCCTGAAACATCAATGGCTTCTCATCCACTGGCCCCCTGCTTTCCCTTCTCCCTCTTGTCACTACTTTCTTCTCCTAAAATGCTGCCTGTCTTCTCTCCCCTACTCTTGAGCCTTTCCCCCCTCCTGCCCCTTCTCTCTTTCTTCCCCCTTCCTCCTCACTTCCTTCCTTGGTCATGTCTCTCTTCTCCACCTCATTCCCCTGGCCTTGCCCCTTGCAGTGCCTCAGCAATGTGCCACAGCTCACTGAGTACTTCCTCAAAAACCGCTACCTGGAGGAGCTCAACTTCTGCAACCCTTTGGGCATGAAGGGTGAAATCGCAGAGGCCTATGCGGACCTGGTGAAGCAGGCTTGGTCTGGCCACCACCGCTCCATTGTGCCCAATGTATTCAAGGTGTGACTCAGCCCTGAGTTGCCCCTTACCCCCACTGCACCCCTACTTCTCTTGACTCTCTTAACTAACTCCCTCTTATGCCGTCGGCCCTTCCCATCTTCTCAGACCAAGGTTGGCCACTTTGCATCCCAGTTTCTGGGCTACCAGCAGCATGACTCACAGGAGCTGCTGTCATTCCTCCTGGATGGGCTGCATGAGGACCTCAATCGGGTCAAGAAGAAGGAATATGTGGAGCTGTGCGATGCCGCTGGGCGGCCTGATCATGTAGGTACTCCTAAAAGACCTCCAGCCTGAGGGCCCCATTAAAGCCACTGGGGCCTCTCCTTTGGGGATTCTCTGGCTTCCCTAGGGTATCTCATACCCCACCCTACCCCCCCCCCGACCTCAGCTGGAACCTCACTCCCAACCTCGTCTCCAATACCACGTATTACCCCCATACCCAACCCAGAGAACCCCCACCCAGTCTGCTACCCAAAATAAACCCCAATCCTGACAGTGAAGTCTCCAGACAGCCCTAGCTGTAAATCTACCTCTGAACTTGACCAGCGGCCCTAACCTTAACCCCACGCATGTCTACCCCAAACCATGGTTCCCCCTGCCTTGGGCAAGACCTGCTACTCCTATGACTCTGTCAACAGGAGGTTGCTCAGGAAGCCTGGCAGAACCACAAACGGCGGAACGATTCTGTGATCGTGGATACTTTCCATGGCCTTTTCAAGTCCACACTGGTGTGCCCTGACTGTGGCAATGTATCTGTGACCTTCGACCCCTTCTGCTACCTCAGTGTCCCACTGCCTGTTAGCCACAAGAGGGTCATGGAGGTCTTCTTTGTCTCTATGGACCCTCGCCGCAAGCCAGAGCAGGTAGGGGGGTATGGGGACACCACAAGGGACAACATGTAGTCAGAGCTGGTTTGATTACTGTGCCATGCCTCAAGGTTCCTGCAGTAACTCATTGCATGCCCTTCTTCTCTTTTTTGGGCACTTGCTCAGCACCGACTCGTGGTCCCCAAGAAAGGCAAGATCTCAGATTTGTGTGTGGCCCTGGCCAAACACACTGGTGTCTCACCAGAAAGGGTGAGTCTTTGTGGACAGATAGAGGGTGGGATTCAAGGGCAGGGAGGCCAAAGGGCCTATGGAGGCCTTACAGGCTGACCAGCCCCATCTTGGTATCCTGTTTCCAGATGATGGTGGCTGATGTCTTCAGTCACCGCTTCTATAAGATCTATCAGCTGGAGGAGTCTCTGAGCAGCATCTTGGACCGAGATGATATTTTCATGTGAGTGAGGGACCCAGCAAGATTGGGGTTCCTCAGGAACATCCTTTGCTTATTAACCTCTTTCCCCCTCCTCTCCTCACCCGATTCAAGGGGCACTGGCTCTGCACAAGGCTTCAGCCATTGCCTTAGTGGGGTGGGTGACAGATCCTAGTACAAGGTATCCCCTTCCTTATTATGTGAGGGGGGCTCCTATTTCTTCTTTATTTTATTCAGCACTTACTGAATACTTCCTGTGCACCAGATGCTGCCCTGCACTCCTTTCTCATATTGCAGTCCCCAAAAACCAAAACAATTTTTGTAATAGGGAACACTAAGATGCTTTCTGAACATGAGAGCATTCAAAACATTAAAATCTTTGGGTAACTAAAATAGAAAGTGCTTCATGGGTATAAAAGTTCTTTGTAAACCAAGCAGTGTTTCCCAAAAAGAAAATGATTTTAAATCCCTTCATTACTAAAAGTTCTTGTTCCCCTCCTCAGTACTTTGGTAGCACCAAAGTACTGTATAAAACATCACATAAACAACATGTCATTTAAATCACCTAATGGTTTGCAAAGCACAAAACACTGGGTGACTCTTTAGACCCTTTTAAAAATATTTTCAGTCTGCGAGGGGTGAGTGGGTGAGGGCATTTGGGTCAGTCCGAAAGTCCCTCTCGGGTGTCCTGATTGGGCATGATCTGATGTCCACCCCTGCAGATATGAGGTGTCGGGCAGGTCTTCTATCAGCGAGAACACCAGGGAGGATGTGGTGCTCCCTATCTACCTGCGGGAACGCACCCCAGCCCGGGACTACAACAACTCCTACTATGGCCTGATGCTCTTTGGACACCCACTTCTGGTGTCAGTGCCCCGGGACCGGCTCTCCTGGGATGCCCTGTACCACATCCTGCTGTACCGCCTCTCGTGAGTCTGCCCTTCAAGGGACGGGTGGGGTCTGAACTCAAACTTGGGTGTCTAGCTGCCTGGCTACCACCTCACCTCCTTCTAAGGCCACTAGACAGTTTAAACTTCATATGGCCAGATAGAAACACGTAGATTTTTTTCTGTCTCTAAACATCTGGCTTTGCCACCACGTCTCCTAGGTGCTAGAGATACAGAGGTGAACAAAGTAGACAAAACTGTCCACTTAAACTTGTACTTAAACTGTCTCCTCCTTGGAGAGGCTTGCTTATTTGTGTTTTTACCAGTAGATTTTTTGGGGGTTTAAAATCCAGATTCCTTCTGAGGTCAGCAGAGCACTGTGCTTGCTGCCTGGTTTAACCCCTCCCTTATATTCCACTTACAAATCCACTCCTCAGAAGTCTTCCCTGACCAGAATTTACAGCAGATTGTGTGTCTGTGTGCCAGTGGCTTATCCCACTTAAGATCCACCAGATCGTCCACTGTTGGGCCGTGTTTTCCATATCACATCCTGAGACTTTCCAGGCTCCTCATGAACAACTGTTAGTGTAGGCACTTACAAGTGGCTTCCCATTACAAACAGTGTAGAATCTTGGCCTCTGTCCTCCCTGCCCTGTGCCCCTCCTTGAGAGTCTCCTCTGTTCTTTTTGTAGACGTTATGTGACCAGACCCAGCTCGGACGATGAGGATGATGGCGATGAGAAAGGTGAGGAAGAAGAAGAAGGCAAAATGGTACACAAGGATGAGGGTCTGTACAACAGTCTGCAGCCAGATGGAGGGATTGTGGGATGGGGGAGTCTAGGGTAAGTCTGACCCCGCAACAGGATCCACCTGGATGATTATTGCTGTTCATTCTCCGGGGCTCACACAGACCCATCTCTGACATCTTCTCCTATCCTAGCAGATATGGAGGGTAAGAACAGCATCCCCAAGCCTGGAAACATGGCTGGGGGCAGCTCCCACAATCCTGGGCCGGAGCAGGCTGGGCCAAGCTCTGGAGTTGCTGGCGGGAGCCGAGCCCCTATGAACAACTCTCCTGGACCATCTCACTGGCCCCAGAGAGCACGGCGCAAGCACCTGTTCACCCTGCAGACAGTGAACTCCAACGGGACCAGTGACCGCTCGAACTTTAACGAGGATACTCATGGTGTTTCCTTCAGCTGTGAGCCAGGGTTGGGGAGGCGGGAGGGGGGTTTCCTTGGCAACAGGACCCATGACCACTTCCCTCACCTCCAGCCCAGCCGTACATTGCCATCGACTGGGAGCCAGAGATGAAGAAGCGTTACTATGACGAGGTAGAGGCTGAGGTAAATAAGGCCCCAGGTATGGGGGGACACTTGCAGCTGCATCCCTTCAACTCCTCACACAGATTTCCCAGGGCTTCAGATTCCTGTCTTCAGAGTCCAAGCTCTTACCACTTTGCCTTATGTCTTCCACCCCCCACTCCCTTTTATCCATCCACACCTGGTGGGCCGCCACTCCTCTACCCTAGGGCTATGTCAAGCATGACTGCGTTGGGTACGTGCTGAAGAAAGCTCCGGTGAGGCTGCAGGAGTGCATTGAGCTCTTCACCACCGTGGAGACCCTGGAGAAGGAAAACCCCTGGTGAGAGACCAGGGCCTTTGGGGCTATCACTGGGTGGGACCATGTACCCAAGTCCCTGTTACCTCTAGATGTAACCTCTCTCTTCCCCTCAAACTCATCTGTCACTCTGGCCACCAACACGCTGACCATATTCCCACCTCAGAGCCTTTGCCTGGGCTGTCTTTTTCTCCTAGAAATGCTCTTTGTCCAGTTCTGGACAAGATTCCTTCAGTTTGTTCAGGTTTCCAATCAAATGTCACCTTATCAGAGAGATGTTCTCTCATGACCCTATTACCTCCCAGTGCTCTTCCTAGCCAAGCATTACTTTCTTTTTAGTTCAGTAACACCACTCGATGTCATATCCCAGATCCCCTTTTGCGTCATTATTTGTCTTCTCTGTCAGAGTAAATCCCTTGAGGGTCGAAGACTTTAAGTATACTTACTGTGTGTCTCTTTACTGATTATAGTAGTGTGGAGTATGCAGTAGGTGCTCAGTAGATACTTGCAGAATAACCAGAACATAAAGCCAAAAAGCTCAAACCAGTCAGTAAGAGTGAATCTCCACAGGCAGAAAGGGAACAGAAATACAAAGTAGTGCCAAAGGATTGAACAGTACAGTCAGTGACTACCTGGTAAGTGAGTGAAATAGGAAGAGAAAAACGAGAGGGTTAGAGGCAGGCTCTGAGATAAGACTAACACCATCTCACAGACCAGAAACCAAACGAAAAGACACATGAGTATAAGAACACAAAGAGAAAGCGGTTGGTGAGCCCTTGATGAGTGACATGTGAAGAATAAACTAGAGTAACAAGCAGGCTGGAGATAAGAGCAGCGTCTCTGGACTGGACAGGGCCCAGGAAGGCCACTGGTACAGAGCATGCCCAGAAAGTGTCTAGGTTCTGATTTGGGCTCTGTCTGTAGGTACTGCCCCTCCTGTAAGCAGCACCAGCTGGCCACCAAGAAGCTGGACCTGTGGACACTGCCTGAGACTCTGATCATCCACCTGAAGCGCTTTTCTTACACCAAGTTCTCCCGAGAGAAGCTGGACACCCTTGTGGAGTTTCCTATTCGGTCTGGGGTCCAGGGAGGTTGGCTGGGGGGAAAGGCAGGGAGTTGGGAGGGGTTATGCTCTTACTAACCCTACCCCCACCCACAGGGACCTGGACTTCTCTGAGTTTGTAATCAAGCCACAGAATGATTCAGCCCCGGAGCTGTACAAATATGATCTCATTGCGGTGTCCAACCATTATGGGGGCCTGCGTGATGGACACTGTATGTGGCAGGGGCGTGCCCTGGAGAGGGGGAGGGTCAGGACATCCCCAGCGGGTGATTAGATGTGTGAGCCAGTCGTGGCATTATTAGAGTGGGAGGAGTGAAAGAGTGAACATGACACCTCTTAAGCACTTCAGGGTAAGTGAGGACATCTCCCCTTCTCTTCCAGACACAACATTTGCCTGCAACAAGGACAGTGGACAGTGGCACTACTTTGATGACAGCAGTGTGTCGCCTGTGTCTGAGAATCAGATTGAGGTATGACTTCTGAGCTCCCTTCTCCCCTCTTCCCAACCCCACCCCCATCCCAATGCATACTGATTCCTATCCTTTCCTTGCAGTCCAAGGCAGCCTATGTCCTCTTTTACCAACGCCAGGATGTGGTACGTCGTCTGCAATCCAAGCCCCAGCCTGGCTCACCTGATCCCCCAGCACCTCCTACCTGTGATTCCCTGCCCAAAACTGAGTCCATGGATGTAAACTGAAGAGCTCTGGCCCTGTCTGTCACAAGAAAGGAAGCTATTTCTGTTCTCTTCCTTCCTCTCTCTACTCCTGTCCTCTTAACCTGTGTTAGATTCCCCGCGCCCCCCCCCCCCGCCCCGTGCCAGGTATCACAGGCTTAGTTGTGGCTACTGTTCTCTTGTGCTGCCATATTGCTCTTTCCTGGGGAAGAAGTTGTGTCTCCTCTCGGCAGTGTGTCCCTGCCTCTGTTTGCCCCGTAGAGCATTAACCTTCCCTTCTATCCTCTATTTATGGTTGTGCCCTTTCCTCTGTCCTCAGCCTGTGTTGTTCTGAGGGGGTGGTGGTTGGGTACACCTGAACAGAGTGTATTTTCTTATTGAGACCCTGTACCTTTCGCTGTGTATATATAAAGTACCAGTGTGTTCCTTGGCAGTGTGAGGAGGTTTTTGTTCACATATCTACTAAGCACCAGTTGTATGCCTGTGTGGTTATGTGTGCTTATGCTTACTGAATTCTGCATGTGTGGTGGATGCTGTCCTTGAGTGCTTATTGTGTGCCACCTGTGTGCCAGGTGCTATTCTAAGTGCTTTTGAAGTACCATCTGCATGCCACACATGCAGCACAAAGTGCATGCCCAGTGTTTTCCGGAGCATTTTATGCATACTGACTCATAATCCTCATAACAGTCCCACACAAGAGTTGTCATTTCCAGTTTCTGATGGGGAAATTGAGGTACAGAGGTCAAGCAGTTGCTGAAGTTCTCTCAGGAGGGCAGCACACCTCACAAGTTACACTGGTGTTGGTCTCTGGAGGGTCCATTTGGCCTCTGGGTCCAAGATGGAAATCTTTTTGTGGGCATGATCTGCACTACCACTGATGGGGAAAGGTGTACCCAGAATAGATGGGCATTCACGTGGGCAAATGTGTAGTTTCTGGGCACAAGGATACTATACAGATCACTTCACAGTTCCCCACCAGTGTCCTCTAAGAACTGCAGAAAAGGTACACCTGGCCCAAACCCACCAAACTCACAGGATAAAAATTCTGTGTCGCTTCACCCTGTACTTAGGCCCTATCGCACCATGACCCCAGTTCTCCTACCAGGTAGGATCCCTCCAACCTCAATCCAGAGAAGAGTGTGCTGGAGCATCTACCACAGAATGGCTATAGCCTGGTGTGAGCATAAGATGCCATTTAAACACTGGACATCTCCCATCTGACCCCACTTGTAAGTGCCAACTATCGCCTCAAAAACAGCTTCTGTGAGGACACCTGTGGAATGGAGTGGGCAAATGCATGGTATCTGGACATAAGCCCCTCCTAAACCTTAACACTGAGGAAGGGAATCCTGCTCAGCTGCACTTAAGAGACCATTGCCACAGGTGGGGGCCTCGATGTTCCCCCCCAGCCTCCTGCCTTTGCACCAGACCTGACAAGACCTACTCTGAGGGTCACTGGACCCAGCATTACCACCCACAAACCTCCCAGTCGTGCAGTTGACACAGGCAAAAATCAAGCTAGTTCCTGTGAGGGATCCAGCCCAAACTGACTTCAGGAAAAATAAGAGGTACTAGCTTCAGTTCTGATTGGATCCAGGAACTCGAAAAACTGTCATTTATTTTTTTAAAAGCTGTCATTTAAACCTCAGGTAGAACTTCCAGCCAAGATGGAGGCATAGGTATACACACTGCCTCCTTGCACAACCAAATGAAGGAAAACAATTTAAAAACAAAGAACAGCTAGTACCAATGGAAAATTAAACTGTATGGAAGTCTGACAACCAAGGAGTTAAAGTAGACACATTCATCCAGACCAGTAGGAGGGGCAGTCAGGCAACCAGGGCAGAGAGGACTCGTGGCAAAGTGGTGGCTGGTGAACCCCATGTGCCCAGGGTGGTGGCTGGCAGACCTAGCAAGGCAGCAGATTGTGGAGCATGGTGTGGTGTGCAAGGTGGCAGCTGATCCCACATTTGTGTACAGATAAACCAGGTAAAACTGGGGAGCAAGACAGACTTCACAACCCAGGGTCCCAGCGCAGGGAAATATACCTTCAAAACACCGATTGAAAATAGCTGTGGGAGTTGAGGTGCTGGGATAAACTCCCAGCCTCACAGGACAGTTTATTGGAGAGAACACATCAAAGTTCCAGAAAAAAATACAACTAAGTGACAAAGAGATAGCCAACCTATCAGACACACAGTTCAAAACACTGGTAATCAGGATGCTCACAGAATTGGTTAAATTTGGTTGCAAATTAGATGAAAATATGAAGGCCACGCTAAATAAAATAAAGGAAAATGTACAGGGAACCAATAGTGATGGGAAGGAAACTGGGACTCAAATCAATGGAGTGCACCAGAAGGAACAAAGAAACAACCAAACAGAAAAGAATAAAGAAACAAGAATTCAAAAAAATGAGGATAGGCTTAGGAACCTCCAGGACATCCTTAAACATTCCAACATCTGAACTATAGGGGTACCAGAAGGGGAAGAGGAAGAGCAACAAGTGGAAAACTTACTTGAACAAATAATAAAAGAGAACCACCCCAATCTGGCAAAGGAAATAGACTTCCAGGAAGTCCAGGAAGCTCAGAGAGTCCCAAAGAAGGTGGACCCAAGAAGGAACACACCAAGGCACATCATAATTACATTAGCCAAGATTAAAATGAAGGAGAGAATTCTAGAAGCAGCAAGAGATAAGGGGACAGTCACCTACAAAGCAGTTCCCATCAGACTGTCAGCTGATTTCTCAGAAGAGACCTAACAGGCAAGAAAGGGCTAGAAAGAAGTATTCCAAGTCATGAAAGACAAGGACCTACATCCAAGATTGCTCTATCTAGCAAAGCTTTCATTTAGAATGGAAGGACAGATAAAGTGCTTCTCAGATAAGGTCAAGGTCAAGGAGTTCATCATCACCAAGCCCTTATTATATGAAATGTTAAAGGGACTTACGTAAGAAAAAGAAGACAAAAAACATGTACAGCAAAATGACAGCAAAGTCACAATTATTAACAACACCTAAAACAAAAACAAAAGCAAACAACTGGAACAGGGACAGAACCACAGAAATGGAGATCACATGGAGGGTTAGTAATAGGGGAGTGGAAGGGGGTGAGAGGGGGAAAAGTTACAGAGAATAAGTAGCATAGATATTAGGTAGAAAATAGAAAAGGGGAGGGTAAGAATAGTAAGGGAAATGTAGAAGCCAAAGTATTTATAAGTATGACCCATGGACATGAACTAAAGGGGGGGAAATGTGGGTGCAAGTGGGGTGTGCAGGGTGGAGGGGAGTGAAGGTGGGGAAATGAGACAACTGTAATAGCATAACATTAAAGTATATTAAAAAAATAAACCTCAGGGAAGGTGTATGATTTAAGTACTGTTACCCCATTTAGAAGATGAGGAAGCAGGAATAAACAGCTAGTTCAAAATAGGCTATAAGGACAAAAAGACATTGCCTATGGACAAATAGTCCTGAACAAAGCCCTCCTAAAATGAAGTAATTTAAAGTTGCTTCCCCGATTTAACCAAAGACATCTTGAAAAGACAACAGTCAATTACATAAAGATGACTAAGATAAGACTTCTCAGACATCAGCTTTTGCCAGATAGATCAGTTGGTTGAAGAGTTGTCCCAACATGCTAAGGTTGCAAGTTTGATCCCTGGTCAGGGCACATAACAAGAATCAACCAATGGCCCTGGCTGGTATGGCTCAGTGGTTTGAGTGCTGGCTTGGGAACCAAAAGATTTGCCAGTTCAACTCCCTGTCAGGGCACATGCCTAGGTTGCAGGCCAGGCCCCCAGTTGGGAGTATGCAAGAGGCAATTAATTGATATCTCTCTCACACAATGATGTTTCTCCCCCTCTCTTTCTCCCTCCTTTCCCCTCTCTCTAAAAAGAAATAAAATTTTTGGGGGGGGTGGGCTGGGATGGGAGTTAAATATAGAAAACTGTACTTGAAAAATAATTAAATAAAAAAAAATTTTAAAGAAAATTAAAAAAAAGAATCAACCAATGAATGTGTAACTAAGTGGAACAACAAATCAATGTTTCTCTTCCCCTTCCTCACTAAAAATCAATACAGAAAGTTCTTAGACATCAGTGTAAATGAGCTATGTTTACTCTGGTCATGTAAATACAGAAAATTACAAGTAAGCAAGAAATTAAAAAATTTGAAAAATGAAAATGAATTTAAAAAAGAACCAAGTAGAAATGATAGACCTGAGATAAATAATAACAAAATTTAAGAAGTCAATGGATGAGTTTAAGAACACGTTAGACATAGGTGAAAAGGGAATTGGTGAATTGGCTCTAGGTAAAAGTGTACTAAGGAATACAATGCATCTTTTAAAAGATTTTCAGTTAGACCTGGCTGGGTAGCTCAGTTGGTTAGAGTGTGGTCCCAATGCACCAAGATTGTAGGTTTGACCCCCAGTCAAGGTACATACAAGAATCAAGCAATGAATGCATAAATAAATGGAACAAAAAATATTCTCTCTCTCCCCCCTGCCCTTTCTCCTCTCTGTAAAATCAATAAATAAAAGATTTTCAGTTGGACTTACATAGCTTGATAAATTAAAGCTATCAAACTAAAGACTAGAAAAAGTATAAATTTTGAACAAACAGAGCGAAGGAAATAAATGAATAATACATCCAGAACAAGGAAAGAAGAAAATAATATGGAACAAGGTACACATGCACAATCATTTGCAAGTAAAGTCTGCTTTGGCCTCTCTGATCTCAAGGGAGGGGACTGGGAATCTGGCTGCTGATTTTGAAATCTTGACTGCCATCAAGACCATGACTACCATGGCACCGGGGAGAGGATGGGGTGAGGGCAAGTAAGAATGCCACAAAATGTTCCTATGACTTTGAACATGGCCTTTTCTTGATTGGACGCTTACTTGGTTGCTATAAAACTTTCACCAGTATTTTTCAGTTTCTGTTGAAGAATGAGATCTTGGAGCTTCCCAATCTGACATTTTGCTGACGTTATTCCCCTTGAGTATTGTTTTACATGTGTTTCTTTTGTAAAAAATATGTTTGTTGATTTTAGAAAGAGAAGGAGGGAGAGAAACATTGACGTAGATAGAAACATCAACTGGTTGCCTCCCATCCACCTCCCGACTGGGGATCAAACTCGCAACCTAGGCACTTGCCCTGATGGGAAATTAACCACCAACTTTCTGGTCTACAAGATGACACTTCAGCCAACTGAGCCATACCAGCCAGGGCTTTGGTCTGTTTCTTAACACACTTAGGTAGCATGTGGTTGGATCTTTTTATATAATCTAATTTGATGATATGTGTTTTAATTGAGGTGTTTAGATCATTTAGTTAGTGTGATTATTGATATATTTAAACACAAGTATTTCACCTCTTTGTTTTCTATTTGTCATTGTGCCCTCTTTCCTGCTATATTTTGG